CGGCACCAGGGACCCGGGGCGGCCCCGGCGGCACCGCCTCGTACCGGCACCAGGGACCCGGGGCGGCCCCGCCGGCACCGCCTCGTACCGGCACCGCCTCGTACCGGCACCAGGGACCCCGGGGCGGCCCCGGCGGCACCAGCAGCACCTTGTACCGAGACCCGGGCGGGGCAGCCCCGCCGCGCTTGCAGCGGCCGCCCCTCATTGCGGGCTCCCCACCGTCCCCTCTTCAGGCTCTCCGGGCGCTGTGCCCACACGGCCTCAGCCGTACCCGAGTCAGCGTTTTCCCCTTATCCCGTCAGTGAGGCTTCATCCTCTGCTGCTGTCCCCCCAGGGGTGGCCTCCTCGGCCCCTTGAACGCTGTCTGAAGAGACTGTTTCACCTCCAGAGCTACCTTTTGCTGGCTCACATTAAACAATGGTCTTTTTAGCCCTTACCAGTCAGTGTCACAAAATCATCCATTTGTGCTACTGTTGCTGTATTCACAGGTAAGGCAAACTGCCCTTACTATGCCAAAGCTGAACACTTGGCTGACTGTCTCCAGGCTGCCTTGCCCAACTTCAGGGTTCACAAGATCACTCAGCACCCTGACAAGTGGGAGGTAAGGGGTTGTAAGCCAAGTCACTGGTAGGTGCCCCAGTGCTCTACAAACCAACAAATGTGCTTATATGTACTATGTTTATTCTCTTGTATTAGTGGTATTATACGTGGGTAGAGGTGCTGCAGAATCAGCTTTGTCTGTGAGAGCCAGCCAGAGGAAAGGTTTGAATGTTTTGAGCAACTGGCATCACTGTGAGTCTTACCACAAAAGATGGGTACAAAGTGTGGGCCAGCCTAAAGGTGTGTTTTGTCAATAAAAAGTTCAAGGAGGTTTTTTTTGATTGGTCAGTTTTTTTGTTTTATGTATACATGGCATCTCAGCCTGTAAATCTTTTGGTCACTGTGGTTGCATATACCTTCAGAGTTGTTACTTGCCAAGAGCATTTCTGGCAGTCAAGGGCTTTGAATTGCTATGGAAGTATGAAGTTAAATATCACATATTTGTTTACAATGTGGATGTGCCTTTCTGAATATTTGTGCTGTAGACATGTTGCCACGTCTACCCTGTAGTTCCTATAAGGATCTGAAAAAAAATGCAGTCTGACTTCATGAGATAGACAGTACCATGATGTTTATTATCTCTTATATTTTGCTTGACACCTCAGCCAAGTAAGTCAAACACTTAAGTGGAAAGCAATTAACCTCTTCACCTTACTTATCTTCTGCAGCTAAGTAATCCTCGTGTTACTCACTGCTTCACAACATTGCTGTCTTCAGTATACTAAGACAATTAAGCAAAATCACAGCAGAAGTAAGACCTTTAGGTGAGGTATCACCATGCTTTGCTTTGTGCTGTTTCCCCATTTTGCACATGCTGGTACATAAGTTGTGGAGCACCTTGTAATTATGTATTGAGAGGAAATAGTAAGAATTTTTGTAGTTGTAAGATTTAAGTGTTATTTAAGTGTTAAAACCTTCTGGTGGGGATGTTTACATTAGCAGTGGCTTCATGACATTTGTGAAACGAATGGATGGGAACACAGACAGTCTCCTATCATTTGGAGAGAATTGTTGGACCGTGGAGGGAAAGGTCAGCTTCTGGGAGGACTTAATGATTTTCTGGAATATGCTCAGGTAATGAGCTGCCTTTAATACTGTAAATCCATGCTTTATAACAGTGTTGTTCTTTATTCCTCCTTCAAATGTAAAATAAGGCTCTTGTTTGTAATGGTACCTTGCTGGGTGTGGGCTGCCATTTGATTAGAGGTTGTCCTTTTTCTTCTTAGCAATATTATGGCATCACTTCAATGATGTTGAGTAAAGAAATGTTAGAGGTTGCTGAGGAGAACCTACAGGCTCATCTTGAAATTGTAAAAGAGGATGAAAAGATTAAAAGTCTTATCAAGCCCATGCAGATCTGGATCACCAGGTGAGAGTAAAGAGAATATCTGTGAAGTTTCACTCAGCTTCAAAAGAATGCACTTTTTCCTATCACATATAGCAGATGTAACCATCTGAAATTATGCACAAATCCCTGTAATTTGATGATTTGAATTAGGTTCTGTACCCCTCACTATGACAAACAAACTACTTTTGTTACACTTTGCACCAGTTTAAGTGAGGGTTGTGAAAAGGCAACATTTAGACCCCGAATCAGTTTAGGGAAAAGCAAGTATTTACAATATAAGCTGGAAATTTTGTAGTGTAACTATCTTACATTAAATATTGTTGAAAATATTTAAGTAGATAAAGTCTCTTGCTGTTCTACCTTTAGAAATTTCTATATTTTAGCAGTCCTAACAGAGCACCTTAAAAAATTGTCATTCTATAAAGACACCAATTTTTAAGTGACAGCATCAGCTGAAATGTATAGGATGGAAAAACCTTCAAATTAAAGGAGGACCCAAATGTTTTAATTCTTAACCTGTTAAAATGACAGAAAGAGAAGTAAAGGATCCAAGCTAATGGTCTATTTAAATGTGATCAAATACAAAATACACACCTTCCTAACAAGCAGTGGTTCATTGTTAACTTTTCTACATCCTCCTCTTATCAGTGCATCTACTCCAATCTGTTATCAACTGATCCCTCTGTTGGCAAATGGAGAAGTGTTTGGGATGACCACAGAAATCAGTATCCATTTGCTTGACACTGGCCAGTTTAAGGAAGTTCTTTGCAGTATTGTAATGGAAGCTGAAGACATGGCATTCCCACTTCTCCGCAGTATTTTGGAGCACACTGAAATAGATGAGGCTTTTATCGAAGCTGATGTAGTTATTGTTCTTGATGATGTCCTCTTAAACCTTGAAGTCCAGTCCCTTGAGAACTACATCAGAGAAGTAAGTGAGATCTGCCAAGTGTATGCTCCCTTGATTGAGAAGAATGCCAAGAGTGAGGTCAGAGTAATTTCATCAGGAAAAACCTTTGCAAATCTTAAGGCGACGCTGATTATGACGTACGGCCCATCCATTAAGCCTGAGAACATCATTGCCGTTGCGACATCCTGGGAAAGTGCAGCTAAAGCCACGCTGGCCAGGAAGTTGAATGTGAGCACAGCAGGTGAATATTTATTTAGCATTTGGGGAAACCAGTGCAGCTTTGGGAGTGTGTATTTCATTGCAGAACACAGTTGATATGCATGCCGAAATGCAAGCACAGCAGTGCACCCACTGAATTGCATGGGTGCCCAGAATGCCAGGGTGTTTTTTACTAGCTCTGGCATGCAGCCCTGCCACTCTGGTGTGTATTTCATGCTGGAAATATACTAAGAAGGTCTGAGTTGTGTTGCAGATTAGGAACTAGGATATCAAGGTTGCATTTACACTCAATAGTGCATTGTTATTTTGGAGACACACAAACTAGCTGTGATTAAACATGGCAACATACTGCTGTGCAGATAATGAGAGTAAAGTAGAACTGTGTTGTACTATTATTTTGGGGTTAATTAGCTTTCTTTCTCAGGTCAGTTGTTATAGCTTGGTTATATTTGCACAGTTCTGCACTGCATAGCAAAGGTGTGCTCTGACAGCCTGCTCACAATCAGGATTCTTTCAGTGTTGTAGGGGCAGAACTAGTCATTGATGACAAGTCTAGATATTTTGGAGCCTAATAAAATAGAAAAGTAAGTTAGGCTGAGAGGCCTATCAGCAGGTTATTTGAGAAAATTCTTTTCCAGCAAAGAAGGTGTTTTTTAATGACTTTTTTATTGTTTCTGTATTTATTTTTACAGGATTTTAAAATTAATATTGCTGTATATTTGCAATATGATTTGGTTTGGATTTTAAACACTAAGTATTTTCTGGGGTTTGTCTATTATTTAAAATAGCATGATATAAGTTAAAGTTCCTTTTTCCACTTGCGATGAGGTTTCATATATTATGGAGAACTTGGTTGCATTTTTCAGATCAGATAATTTCTGCTAGCAAGGCAGGGCATTGAATTGAAGAATAATTAATCTTGAAAGAGATTTGTGAAGGTCATCTAGTCCAGCCTACACTGTGAAAGTGTTTGTCCCTTCATTAATATATATATTTTCCTCTGTTACAGGAGTTAAAGACGTGATTGTTTGGGGCAATATTACTGGCTCTAACTACATTGATTTGTCACATGCCAAACTTTATGGATATGATGGTGCTATTTGGGGCCCAGCTAATTTTCAACGTCCTTTGTTGAATCCGATTTATGATAGGTACAGTACACATTTATTTCTGTAAAGTAAAAACTAAATAACTGAATTAATCCATATTTATCTGAACTGGGTGATAAAACATCAAGAAAGGTTTTTGTTTCCAAGATTTGTCTTTACTGATTAGCCCTGTTTTAAAGGGAAACACAAGTTGAGGTATTCCATCCGTGAAAGAAGTTGAGTAGTTCCTAGCACTGTACATGGTTCAGTGAAAGAACTTGAATAGTTCCTAGCACTGTACATAGTTCTGGCTCTCCTGCCAACTTTGTTTATAACTGTATTTTCCTATATTTTAAGTGGGTTTCTCTTCTATCATATCATGGGCAGTTTATAAGAAGTAATGAAAGTTCAGACAGTGACTTAGATATCCAGTATGCACGAAGAAACTTTGAAATAGTACTAAACAGATATTTGTACCTGAATTACATGAAACATTCGGCCTGAGCACACTAATGTTGTCAGTTTCTCAAAACAGACAATTTGTTAAGGTATGTGAAAAGGATACCTGGCAGTCAAATAGCTTCTTGTGGAAAGAACAGTAGTAGAGAAAGGATAAGCGCAGTGAGAGGGCAGCAGGTGTGAGATGCACCATGGCCCAGTTATATGGAGTTCCCACTCTGGTCTAAACCTGCCATTTACTGAAGAGGAGACGTTTCTTTTGTTCTGTGCTTATACTGAGCCTAGCATAGGGGGATTATGGTTCATGGCCGGGTTCTTACATAAATCAGTAATACATATAAATTACAGTAATAACAGAGGTTATAACTTGAGTAAATAACCTAACTTTCATAGTAAAATGGTGTTTGGCATTACTTTTTGAGCTACTTTTTGTTAGACAATTTTTTTAATGGCTGTAAATGCCTTGCCTCCAACAGGGAAGTTGGAGTAAGTTTTGACTGTTTTCTTTCCTCAGGTTTAGTTCTTTTTTTGTCTATGAAACTTCTGCAGTCATCTTAGATTTTTAATCTCTTTTTTCGCCCTTTTTTGTTGGTAGGGAATGGATCCATTCAGAATTTTTATCTGCACAGGGTTCACTGCGTTCCCGAGTTGGTCATTCCACAGGAATGTTACCTGCTCACGCGGTAGCCACTGTACTGCAGTACTGGTATCACGGCTCTCCTCCTGGGGAGATTGTTTCTGTGGGAGTACTTAGTGAAGGTAAATTTATTTCTGCTTCTCGTGTTCTCTTGTAGCTTTGCACTACATATAATAGCTTTCCCCTATCTCTAACATTACTTTTTAATCAGTATTTTTAATGTAACAAAAACTTGTAAAACAAATCACTTGAGGCTGAGAGTTTGTTTCATCATAAGAACTTCCAAATCTAAGTAATTTTGCTTTCCAGGGCTAGTGATTTGATACTCACTTTCTAGAAGCATCTCTCAGGTTAATATTGTCTTTTTGCAGATTTTCTCTTAGTCTTTTAGCTTTAATGCTTTTCTGATATATGTGTTTTGCCCAAGAACTCTTTATAGATCTTAGTGCCTAAGACAGAAAAGCATGTTCTTTTTGCGTAGTTATATGGACCAATAAATGTAATATTTCACAACAGCCATTTGACCCTTATATGAAATAAATAATTTTTCTCCCTTTTAAGATACACAATTGTACATCTTAAATTTGTACAGTTGTACAAGGGGTAATGGTTTTAAACTGAAGGAGATATATAGATTAGATATAGGGAAGGAGGATGGTGAGACACTGAAACAGGCTGCCCAGAGAGGGAGGAGATGCCCCAACCCTGGAAACATTCAAGGTCAAGTTGGACTCAGAGGAAGCTGGTATATTTGAAGATGTCCCTGCCCATGGCAGGAGGGTTGGACTAGAGACCTTTAAAGGTCCCTTGCAACCCAGACTAGTCTGTGTTCTGTAATTCATGTACATCTAACTAAAGTGCAAGGTTACTGTAAAAGGGGAACTCTTTTTTGAACTGTAGACTGAAAAGTGCAGTCTCCATTTGTACTAAGATCTTGCAGTTGCAGACTTTTGCAAGTCTATAGGCTTTAATGTTGACACTGGTGAGAGTGTGTTTTGTAAAAAGAAATAACATGTTGGGTCATTTTTTCCCTCTTCTTCAGGTCAGTTTTGCGTTCCTGAAGGAATTATCTTCTCTATGCCAGTGAGCTTCCAGAATGGTAGCTGGGAAGTCATAAAAGAATTAGAAATTGATGGAACGACACAAGAAGTTCTGGGACGCTTAGCCCACGAGCTAATTCAGGTGAGGATTTCTTGTCTCCCCCGTGTGCCCATTCTGCCACCTATGGGCACATTGTGGTACAGCCTTGAGCACCGAGACCTTTACTCTCGATGTTAGATGTACACACTGCCCACATGCACTTGGGCATGGTAAAGATCGGGTATTTATAAGTGTGAGGTACTATTCGTATATTGAAATTAACAATTCTGTTGCCCGAAAAGGAGATGGTAAAATAAGTTTACCTATGTACGTGGAGAATTTGCACTCCAAAGTTCTGCAGGCTTTGTGCAAAACAGAAATAGTACGTTCAATTTAATGTTTCTGCGTTCTTTGCCACTGATGTTGATTTTGCTTATGTGTATTCAGAGTATTTCTGTGCTAGAAGACACATCTTTTGGCATTTTTATGGCTGTAACTCTGCATGAATGAAGGCCAGATATTACTAGAATTTGGAATTTTCCAGAAAATACAAAATCGATGAGCACTAATTTCGTCATGAACTTTTTGTCGCTTAGTGAGGCAAAACTAATTTATTTTTAGTATTGAAATATTAAAAGATTGGTTCAAAACTCTACATTCTAGCTTCGGTCAGTTTTGGAATCTTCAGTCATACTAGTAACATGTAAGGATTATTTTTCTTTAACATATTTTAAGTTTGTGCTAGAAATTAGAGCAGATTAAAAGAATGGATGATATTAAAACTGCCTTTTTTTTCCCATTTAGGAAAAGCTCGTTGCACTAAAGGAAATAAAAGAAATACATCCATATGGAGAAGGCTAAAACCCCCACATCTTTTCCCAAGTTTTTCTGTGCTGCTTTTCCTACGTAATTTCCTTTTCAAGTTGTCTGTCCTCGTGCATCAAAATAAGAGCAGATGAATTTAAAAGTGTGTTTTAGTTCTGTTTTTTTCACTTTTCCCCTATTCTCAGGTTCTGAAATCCCTGCAGTTTTCCAATGTTATAGCGATTTCTTTCTACTTTTAAGTCATACAGGCCTTTTTTCTAGTTAGTTTTCTTTCTCCCTTCCTTCAAATTCTTTCCAGTACTTTTATATCAGCACTTACCATACTATGAGCTGTTCTTCTCCACTAAGGGCAGGCTGAAGAATGGGAAAACTGTTTGGAGCTTGATGCCCAGAGCCTGTAGCGAGCACATAAGCCTTTTGGTTATCCATGCTTTTTTCTTGGGAAAGAACTACAGACAAAATAAAATATTCTTGATAATACAGAGTTTAGTTATTTGGCTAATCATGACCTTGTTTAACCCAGACAGGAGATTCTCAATTAGATAACAGTGTCCTTCCCTGTCTGCTCCCTATGTATATGGCACTGCTCTTCTGTAGAGCTGCCCTATTCCTCTTGTGGCTGCGTTAAACACTAAGCAGAGGCCTTCCCACTGCTACCTGCTTAGTTGTGGTCTTCTCTTGTGACATCAATATCAGGTGTTCAAATGTTCCCAGAGTGCCTTGCTGATCTCTTTGAATGTGTAGGCATTTTAAAAGGCTGGCAAAAAATATGTAGTGTTTTTGCCTTTTTTTTTTTTACAGAAATGGAAACCTTGCCTACTGGGTCACTTTAGCCAGAGTTGTCTGGAGGAAAAATGCTGGAAATTCCCATACTAAAATAAGACTTTCATTGCTCCAGAGAGCAAACTACAAAAAATGCTTAAACATTGTCATAGCTTTTGCTGTATCTTCTTCATAAAAAACCAGGAAATCTCTAGGCAGAAAAATATTTCAAAATCAGAATGAATGTAATATTCTTAATCTGGAGACCAAAATAAAATTCCAGCTGATTCTAATGAGTCTAGGATTTCATTTGCATCCAACAGCTTATTTCTTCAGACCAATAAACTGTTGCAAAAACATAGTTTAGTGTTCCTATTATGAAAATATTGGGTAGGATTGTCACACCTAGAGTAGCAATTTTCTAACTCCAGATACTTATTTTGAATGTATTGAAACACAGGACTTGTGTAATAATATATCTTCTTAGGCAAAATTGATTTTTCACACAAAAATATAAGTCCATCTCCTTAGTGACAAGATAATTTTTTGTCCCCATGGGGTTTTTTATTTATCTCATGAGTTTCAAGGGAATACGCATATGTTTTAAGTCAAACATGCAATTAATTAAGTCCTTGTGTAAACAGAATTATTGAGGAACCACTCTCACTTGTATGTCTTTGGGGTCTTAAAAAATGGAAACTGTGTTAATGAAATGTTATTGTACGTGCTGATTTTATCAGTTATGTTTAAAGCAAAATAGAAAGCTTCCTGTTCTTTGAATCAGATACATATAGTTGGAATAAATTCATTATTTCTGTTCAAGTGGAGGTTCAAGTTCTGAACAGGGGTAGACTTCTTATATGAGGAAACCAAGAGGACTATATGTTATATATAGGAGGAGTTCACATGGAAATTTTAGAGGCAGGTGTAGTAGAAAATCTTGAAGAAAGAGGTTAGGAATCAGTAATTTCATGAGGAAATGGTGTCCGCAGAATTAGTTTCTAGTATATGCACAGAAAATTGGCTGAGTTTCTGGGGAGCATCTGGAAGTAGAAGTCTCAGGAGAGCATATTTGGGTGCTACCAGTAGTCATTATAAACTACCTGGTTTGTTCCATAGCTCCTTCTCCAAGACAGGAGAGGAAAAGTTATCTTCTCTAATGTGTATTTACATTTGGTTTTTTTTATATATGGAATATGATTTGCCTGTGGAGATAGCAGTTCAAACAAACTGCAGTTCAAGCACCAACACTGCACAGCTGCTAATGAGAAGGCATATAACTGTTTCTGCAATATATAAACAGGCTTATCAGACTTAGTCACTAGCTGACAAGCTTTTTTTCTCAGAGGCTGAGAGGTGAAAGAAAAAAAATGTTTGGGATGTCTCTTGTATCCTAAACTATTCTAACTGGATTTGCCTAGTGGCCTGCAGGGAAATTCATGTCTTCCCTTGTGGAAGCATAATAGAATGGAAAAGTTTCTTTTCCTAGCTTTGCTTGGGAGAGAAAGACAAAAATTAAATTAGTAGGAAAGCTAAAATATAGTAACGTATTCAAAGTTGGTTACAGTTGTAACACAGCAATTGACTCAGTCATCACTAAGTTTGGGTTTCTATAAGTAATAAGCCAGTACACATTATCTCACAAATTACCAAGTAATGTTATATATGCAGGATATTCATAGCATTGATGACTCCTACTACCTGGATGTTAGAGTAGCTGTTGAAATATTTATGAAAAAGGGCTTTAAGCTAAATATATGGGTCTTACAAATGTTATATATATTCTGCATAAACCCTTACATTTGGGTGTTGTGAAGAGTGTGTTAGCTTTCTGGTTGGTCTGAACAATCCTTATTCTAGGACATTACCACTAGGGCTTACTATTTTTCTTCTTCGTGTAGCTGCACCAACTGTTTGTTTCAACACACTGTGCTTTCTGCACTACTGTGCCAGCTTCCACCTTATTTTAAGTCTCTATAGCAACATGTTTCTCAGCAACTGGGAGATGCTTAGTAAAGGCCCCTCAATTTAGAAATATTGCACTCCAACCTTAGAAAAATGCTTTGAAACAAAGATCAAAGAAGTTTTATCTTTAATAATTCAGGATATTTATTACTATTTAATTAGTGTTCTCTGTTTTGACTGCTTAGACAATTACCTGATACTTTGATCTGGGCCTTTGCCAGGCATTTGTTGTGAGCAGCATTAATTTAAAAGCAAAACCTTTAGAACTGCATCTTGAAATCAACTTTTAAGTGCTATAAAACTACCGGACTCCTCTGGCAGTGTCGTCTGACTTTTGGGCCTTTAGTAAGTAATGAGAGAAAGGTAAGAGCAGCTACTGTATTTAAGAGGAGACAATAATTTTGGCCTTTGAACAAAACATAGAATGTGTTCACCCTTCACAGGAAACAAAAGTAGCTGTAGGTTATTTTATGCATATTTAAAATGTTGATGATATGTTGCCTGATTTCAAAAGAAAAAAATTCTCTGTGATCGAGTCAATTGATCTGTTGGGAGATTTCTGCCTTACTTCATGTGGCTTGTCTTTCTCTGTACTGTAACTTAATCATGTAGCATGTTTAAAAGTGCATTTTATTTGCTGAAGTACGTATTCTGAGAACCTGTAAGGCAAGTAAGGTACATATAAGTAATCAAACGTTACTTTTCTTTCACATTACAATAGGTTTCGAGAAAAGGGCTGCTCTTGTTCTGCACATAAGAGTATTCTTATTAATGGGACCAAGATTTATAATTGTAAAAATTTATTTCCTGCACATTTGTACATAATTTTAATTTTCTCGTTCATTTGTTTTCTGGTTTTTTTCATTGTTAAAGGGCACAAGTAGCTGAAATATAACACACTGGCTGAAATGGTGTATGAATGAGCAAAGTTAGTTCAGATTTGATGGCTGGCAGATACTGCTTTTACTTTCATATTATGTTCGTTATAAGGTAGATGTGCTAATACTGAAGTAGATTCTGTTCATTTCACCCAGACATTTCTAACTGCAGTCAAGATCTGGACTGTCCACAAAGTTTTGTATATAAAAATGTAGACTGTACATACATTAATAATGCCTTTTGTAAGGTTTTGGAGGGAGGATTCATAGGTATGATGTTGTATAATGGTGGGCAGTTTGGTAAAACACATAAACACATGCTTAACTTCGAGACCATAAATACCCTAATAGAAGGCTATAGGGTCTTTCCATATAGGTCATTTAAATGTTGGACACTGGACTGTACTGAATAGAGATCTTGTCATTTTACAGTATCAGGTGCTCATAGATTATGCATGCTGCATAATTCAGTAAGGATCTCTTCTTATTTGAGTAAGCAAATTCTAATGAGTTCTGTATATTTTTACATTCATTCCATCCTCTTTCTTTATTTTATGTACCCTTGGTGCAGAGAAAAACAGGAGGAAAACATGAGGCAAGCTGTGTGTTTGTAAGTTTACCTTCTAGGTTTCTTACAAAACATGTAGCTTTCAATAAACACTTATCTTTAATTCATTGTTTAGAATCTTCTGATTTCATTAATTTGCCTACATTGACTTTTCTGTCAGGCTATGCAGAGGCACCTACTACTGCATGTATTTTAGGAGTAATTGTATCACATTTGCATATATATTGCATATGTATTTGCATATGCATATGTATATGTACAAAGTTACATGCCTATGTAAATGTTGGGCAGAGCTGTAGTCTTGCAGAACCCAGTGTTGAGTCCAAGTTCTAAATCTTAGTAAGGAAGAAAATAGAAGAACAGTGGAAAAGAAACGTAGTGGTATTTCTTTCAAAGAAAGACTTAAGTAAAAACTGTGGCGCTGTAGTCTTTAATGAAAAGTTATGAAAGCAAATCTGTATCCCATTATTTTAAGTATTTATAGGTTACTTAGAGACTGAAACACAAAGTAGCAGCTTTCACCAACTAAAATGGTGAGAAGCATATTTATGGTAGACTGAACAATTACAGATCATTGAATATTTATGCTTCATAATTGGCCAGTATTCTGTCATGTTTATGTCAAATGATCAATGATTCTCACTGGAGAAATGTAGTAAGTGAACATTTGTTTAAGTTAGGGTTTAACACCAAAGGTATTATTTAAGTTTTAAATATTTTCCAAGTATTTAATTTTTATTTATTCTGGCAAAATTTCCCTTTTTTCTCCACAATAAGCCGTATATGTGGCCCTTGGAATCTTGTAAAACTTAGATCTATTATACCTAATGTTTTGCAACTGTAATATTAACTGATAGTTACTATAATTAATTCATATTTTTATGTTTGAAAATATAATGTAGTTTAGAGCGTTAATGAAATAAATCCTGAGGGGAGACATTCAGTTTCCATTATTATCAGGGACATAATTACTTTTGCTTTCAGAGTTGTTTAAAAAAGGAGGTTCATGGTTATCCTTCCTTTTTCCCTTCCAAGTCAACTCAATAAGAAATAATGTCACCTCAGACAAAAACATAAGTTCTGTTTGAAAATTTTAGGAAATACCTGTGAGCAATTGCAATCAATGAGTCTTGGGAAGAGGCTGGTTTACAGTTATACCCTCTGTGACCTGAAATTGTACACTATGGACTGTGTAGTAATCCTGCATGTAAACACTGGACTCTTACAGTGAAAGGTCCCATTTCCTGTACTTGAAACTGTTTTGAGGATCAGTTTTGCCCTGCTAGAGTTTTGCAATTACTTGAGTTACTCCTACTTTATGCAGAGCAGAGTGTGCGCAATTTCCTGGCGTTTCTGTGCACGTGGCACCAGAACTGCTATGTTGTCTTATGTATTCTGTTTAATTTAATTTCTGAAATGCAACCAGTAAATTGTTCAGATTAAAAGGTTTTATTTGAATGGTTCGATATGTCTCTGTCTGGAATATGTGCTTTTACACTTTTTTTGTTTTGTTATAGAATGCCTAATGCCATCTGTTCATTTCAAATGGATCCAGACTTGCAGGGTGAGGATTTTTCTTATTTTTTCCCAGCTTTTCTCAAGAGGCATTTCTGTGTCTTTTTGAACAGAAATTACTGAATTGTAATGAAGTCATGCCACTTTCAGAATTTCTGTTCTGTAGCACATGAATGACAAATTACACAGCTGTTAAGTCATACCTTTATTGTTGGATCTGCCCTGGCACCTTCCTTGCCATTATCACATTGGCTCATGGCACACTGGGATCATCTTCCCTAATTTATAATATATATGCTAAGTTTTTTCCCATATTCTCAAACAGGCATGAAGGATAGCCATACATGCCCTCTCTGAGTGCAAAATCTCAGCAAATGCTTCATCTGCTACAGAACAAGTAGCACAAAATGCAGAACTAGCAGGTAACCAGCTGAAGATGTCAGGGAACAACACACTCTCTGATAAGTACAGGAGCTCCTTTCTCAGCTTCTCAACTAAGGGCATTTATGCTTCTTGAGCTGAAATTTGACCCACTGCAGAATGATTACATGCTGATTTTCTGTCCAAAGGGGAAACCCCGTTCCTATGAGATATTAAAGAGTTTAATGCCCCTAAATAGCCTCTCATAAATAATAATCCTAAAATGCTTTGTATTTTACTTGAGCTTTTTTTCTTTGCTATTTTACTTGTGTGCTCTCGCAAGTTAATTCTGGAACTGTGTTTGACAGGCACAGAATGCCTGACTTTGAGGCCACATTTTGTCTGTAAGGATGGACTTGAATTGAGTAGCAGATGGCTACTAAAACAGATTCCCTTCACTTAGAAAGTCATCTTGCACACGGAAGGTGTTTGAATTGGATGATGTGTATGTTTCTAGCATTTGTATTTGAAAATAAACATTTGGAATTTAATCCACAGCCTACTGAAAACTGTGGGAGCCTTTCTGATACTTTCAAAAGGGCTTTGGATCAGTTTACTGGAGAAAGGGAACTGATGATGTGTGGAAGTCAAAACTCATTTTTCACATTGTATGACATGCTACACTACATCTCCAAATAATATCACAAAACATAGTATGACAAGAGCAGGACTAAACAGATGGTATAGCAGTTATTGGCTTCTTTCTATAGCTTAGGCAGCATCTGGGAACCAGCAGAGCCCATAATTTGCTGACTATTAATATTAATCTGGTGTATTCATGGGAAAGCGGTGCACACAGATTGGCTTGTTTCCAAACTGAACAGGTAAAGTGTTTTGTGAGTTATTTCTACTCAGTTATGCATATTTATTGCTTATCTTTAACCTTAATCAACTGTGTATAACTCTTTCTCTCTGAAGTACAGGAAAAAAAGAGTCTCTGAGGACAGGAGGATAACTGATAAACCCCATTCTAGTTTCTAAAGTTTAGTGAACAAGCCTTTTTTTTTTTTGGTCTTGAAATTCTAGGTATGTATGTAATGTATCAGGTATAGGTCATGTTCAGCAGACCTTGCTTTCCACTCAGGAAAACATCCTATAGTGATATGAAAGAAATGAGCTGAAATCATGTAGGTGTATGGGATTTAGTCAAGCAGCTTGAGTGGAATTGCTAAGCAGAAATGTCAAAAGCCAGTTGTTCTGATAAATTGCTTATCTTCTTCTGCAAGAGTCACAGATACTTGACAGAAGATGTGTTTAATGCTTGAAACAGTATACATCCAAAACAATAACCCTGCTGTGCAAACTGACAAACTGTTCCTTGTCGAAGAGCATCTCTGATCAAGAAACCTGTTTGATTGAAGAAACATTATTTCATTATGATCTTGGCTAAAAGTATGGGCAGTTCATAACCCTTTTCCTGGTCCATGAATAAGCTCAATGCTCAAAGATGCAGGTGTGCTCTCTATGGTAAATTCTGTTTTTACAGCCGTGTCACTGGTTATGAGATCATTTTTCCCACCGTTATTTGAAAAAACAAAAGAATTTTTTTTTTCAAAATTTTCCTTCAGAGTTTTGACCAACTCCAAACTCCAAATTTTGTTGTTTTGATTTTTAGTTAGTTTTAAATGAACTGCTCTATTGTAATGTGTGTTTGTTTTCTTTCACAGAGGCTTTCAATGATGTTCAGAGCTCCGTCTACAGAACAGCCTTAAAACTACGCTCAGTACAAAGTCTGTGCCAGTGTTAGTAGCCAAAGAGAATCCTCTGCTTTTACAGGGAGAAGAATCTCTAAAAAATTTGCATTGCTGTTGCCATGAGATATTATGCTACTTTGCTCTCTCATTTTCCACATGGGAATCTCAGAATGCATTATGAACACTTAAGATCTAGATAATGCTTCATACACAATTGATTTTTTTTTTCCTTTTGAATGGCAGTGGAAATACATTAGTAAAATTCTAAACTTATGGGAGAATCAAATTGTTATTACAGTCTGCAACACTGCTATGTAGACATCCCTGGCAATTATTAATCTTTGTGCATTATAATGCTTGTGAAAAATCAAATTCTCATTTTTCTTAGTAGCTGATTTGTTGGAAATAATCATGGATCATTGAAAATGCATTGACTGTCATTATTATTGATACTATAAATATTAATGAGAGCAAAATAAAGTACAATAGACCAGAAAAACCCTGGCTAGAATTCATTCTCCCTGTCTTTGAAGTGAGAGAGAATTCTGTGCAAGCAACGAATTGTGGAACAAAGTCCTCCTCACCTAGGTCACTTTGAAATTACTGGATGTAAATGCCATATTGAGCTAAATTTTATGGAAATCCTTGAATTTTCCATCTGAAACAATCTGTTCCTGAAAAGGCACAATGTTGCAAGTGAGGTCTTGAGGGTAACACAGAAAAGATGACTAGTTTGTTGGCCTTGGCCATAGTTTTTTTTCATTTGGGCACAACCACAGGTACTGGTTTTCATTACCTCTGTTGCCTAGTCCTTCATGTCTCCTCTAGGCAGTCAGTTGCTCTACTCCTCCTTGAACCCTGGTGATCAGAAGTCCACATGGGTTTCCAGATTGAGTTTCACTCACACTGCAATTTTCCCATCTGTACTGGAAAGACCACTGGTGACATATTCTAGATTCTCTGCTGCTTCAGCAATCCACAGACTTTCAGTCTACTACAATTTTTCACTTCTGAAGTTAATGCTAATTGATCATGCCTCTGTGGTACTGAATGTGGCCTGTAAGAAGCCATAGCTTTCTTCCTACGGATGTTAGTTATTCCATAGGACATTTATAATACAGCCTTCTTACCCCTTTCTTGGCCATAGCACCCCTCTTCTCTTTGTATTTGTGCATGAGAAGAAAGCTTACATCAAAGCATGAATTGTTTTCACAGGTGAGCTTTTTCCTGCAATACTGAATGGTGTGTCGTTTTATACTATCTATATATAGAAAAAAACTTGCATCTGTAATTTGGATGGAGTTGAGCATACTATTTTCCTCTATAATTTGGATGCAATTAATCATGCTGTTTTCTCCCCTTCCTATCTATCCCAAAATCCCATTCAGGGAATTTTAGTTGAGCTGTTCTTTCTTTGTAGCCTCACAAGTTTTGCTAGATCCGTAAACCCAGCAAGACCTTTCTCAGATTACTTCTATGTTGCATACTGTTTTAGACTTCATTTTACAAACTTGTCCTAGCTAGGCTTTTCTAATACAAAACTATCGCTCTTCCATTCATGAAAAGGCAGGGATTCTCATTCATTTCTTCCTTAATTTTCCCACAGTGGATTTGATTGATGTTTCTCTGATTCAGCACATCCTATCAAGTGAACGGAGCCAGAGGGGAGAGCAGATTTCTCTGAATATGCAGCAAATCTCTAGAATGTTGACAGAACTGTTCCAAAGGGCAAGATTAGAAAAACCAGGCCAGGTAGATCTGAGAGCTGCTGAATTCACGTTGAGTCTGCTCGTTGCCATGTATGACAGGTGAGAAGAAGAATAAATGTAAATCCATCGTGAAGTATCATAGAATCATAGAATTTTTTTTTTTGAAGAGACCTTAAAGACCATGTAGTTCCCACCCCAAGTGTTGTTTCTACCACTCTTGCACCGTTTCTGTATAAAACTCTCACTTTTGATTTTTTTTTTCTTGGTATACAAACTAGGAGTAGTTCAGCTGTCAGAATATGAGGCAAAAGCTGTATCAGAGAGATGGTGGTCAAATGTTTCCAAAACTATCTGGAAGTCCAGTCTTCTGTCAGTCCATGTCGGCTTTTTCTCTGAACAGCTTTACAGAGTAGCTCTTCTTCTGACTGCCAAGATATTTTGATACACTTCTGCAAAGGAATCTGTATTTGCCTTTGAGGGGCAGCACCCATGCAGAGGTCAAGAATTTTCCAGTCACTTTTCTTCATTCATTTTTCTCCAGCTTAAAAACTTCATCAAATAATTATGAAACAAAATTGATGTCTCATAACTAAGCTGATCAGCTCCTGCGAAGAGCAATTAGTTTCTGGAGGTAATAAGGAGGCAGTTCACAGAGTGTATTTTTCTCATGTATTGTTTGTGAATAATGAATTAATTAACTAAAGGCAGGATTGGTTTGTGATTGTATCAGATTTAAAAGGCTAAATTCATTGTACAATTTATTTACCATGAGTGAAATTTATTCCCTTACATGTTGGAGCAAAGTTTTTTACTGAAAGTGAGTGAGATGTAAGTGGTCTCAAGACTTTTTCTTGAGTCAGTGTTCATTAATAATATGATCACTACTCCTTAAGGTCCCATATTGTTAATGTTTATTTACTTAGAAAAATCGATGAAGGCTAAGAATAAACTGGTGTATTAAGAAAAAAAGCTAGAAACATCAAGAGTATTTTGTAATTTGTGTGCACTGTAGGGAAATAACTTAGAAGAATCTCCTTAACAGGACTATCTTGGTCTTTTATTCTGTTTTTTTAAGACTGTGTAATTTTCCTTTTGCTGTCTTTTTTTTTTAAATTTTCACAAGTTTCTTGACATGTATATAGGATAGAAAAAGCTTCTTATAATTTTCTTCTAATCAAGTTTTCTCTGAGTGCTATTCTCCATAGTAACACTGGAAAGTATTTCATAGGAGGAGCACATACTTTGAAGAGTATGTTGCAGCTTTATGCACTGTGGATTTATCTAAAGACTCTTGGAAAAAATGTTATGTAATGATATTCTGAAGTGCAATACAGCTTTACAAAAGTGGTATTTTAAATATAGAATTCCAGGATTTCCTGACTTGTGCTTTCCAATTCATGTCTGCTTAGTCTTCACAAAAAAATAATTGTTTTGTTCATTAGGTGCCTATGTCAAAAACTTGGGTTCTAAATTAATATAGGCTATTTATTATCTAACAGTCAAAACTGAAGTCCTGGTCCTGCCTATATCCTTTTGTTTAAATTGAGTTGCAGTGAAATTAAATGGAGTCAGCCCAAGAAAAGCTCAGTGCAGATTTGGGGCCATAGTGAAGCTACCTGATGTTATAATGCAAAAACCAGGTTGTATCCTGTATTCTCTTCCATATTTGGGAAGGCTTTCCACAAATAAAGAGCAGATTTTTTTTTTTAGGACATGTATTGTAAAAGTAAAATTATATTTTACTTGGAACGTGAGGTCTTTGAAGGAGATGTTGTGGTTTTGTTTTATGATTCCGTGGCACCTTGGAACAGTTAACTCTGATGTTATGTTCAGTGACAAAGGGTTCTAGACATAAATTATCACTGAAATGTTACATCAGTTATATTTATACATATAAAAGGGTATGAGTTTTGAAGTTGTCTCCTAACATAGCAATATTTTATTCTTTAGAAGTTTCAGTTTTTACATTCTTAGTGAATTTATTGTGACTTATTTTATTTTCTTAGATCTGGAACAGGGTATGTCAAAATTAGATCTGCTGCAGCTGCCCTAATTGCCCTTTCAGGAGACACTCTACTGGCTAAATACAGAGGTGGGAAATATATGATTTTTATACACTGCCTGAAATACTGAACATCAAGAAAAATCTCCATTGTAACTTTTTACTTTAGAAGAGAATACAGTTCTGCCATGCAAAAAGTAAATTATGTTGACTGCTTAGTTACAGAGAAAGGCTGATGCAGAATAATACTTTTCAATTAATGTCTGTAGCCATCTTTGCATAGTCTCAGAACAGATCATAGTAAAGTTTAAAATAAGTAGAGCTTAAAAATGAAGGCCACGTTCTATTTGCCTCACAGAAAAGAACAGAAAACTAGTTTTAAATTTCATTGGATTAGAAAGCCATTTTTTATATTTGATCCAGCAAGCTTTTAGACATTAGACAAAAATGCTTAAAGAACTAAGTATAACAGATAAAGGTGGCCCAGTGTAATGTGCAGCACAAAGATTTCTGCCTGAATTAAATGGCTAAAATGGAGAACAAATGGAGCACCAGTGAAATATTCATCTCATACTCTCCTACTGCCTACTGCATATTTCTGTCCAGATTACAATTTGCAATTAACAATTCACAATTAAATAGGGCACTTCCTGTATAAACATATTTAAATATTTTTCTTAATGTCACAAGAATGAGCTCATTGCTTCCTTCCTCCTTACCTGTCTTAAATGCCAGCAATAAGGAATTGCCATAAATTCCTTCTCTTTCCTTCTCTTTCCCTTGTCATAGGAAGAAAGTATTGCCACAGCAGTCACTGTGAGCCTGTTAGGTGGATAATAAAGTGGAACTTTACTATGCAGTTTATTTGATAGGCTGCAATCGCCATAGCAGTTTGAAGATAGCTTGAAGACACTTCAGGCTCTGCCAGGATTCCAGTTTCTTTCCTCTTGTTTTCAGCTTTCTTCCAGTTTTATGCTGTCCCTGATGGGAAGGTGGCCTTGATTACCCGTAGTGCCCTGAGAAGCCTACTAACAGACTTAAATCAGGTAATGCCACTGCAATGCTGCTACACAACGGATTTTGTAAGAGAAAAAAAACACCTGATTGATACATTTTATGTTTGATTACCTTATGAGACTGAAGTCAATAGGATACTCTCTGGTCATAGGGAGCTACCATGCAAAATAGGTAAAAGAATCAAATTCTGTCCCTTTTCTCCGTCAGAGTAACTGCTTGGATCGGTGAATGCCTCTGCAGTCATGTTGCCTGAGCTTACACATCCTGGGAACAGCTGCATGCAACTGTTTCTAAGGCAACTCCAAACTTCAGATGTCTGTACTCACTAGAATAGCTTGCAGTTGCAGGAAGATACCTTAGCATACAGGTATTTACAGCTGAACTGGTGCTGAAAACGGGATCTGAAAATGACTCCTGAGGTTCAAACCCAGTGTCCTTCGGTATTATAGTGTGGCAACATAGTATGTTAATCCATATCAGTAAGTGAGTTGGAAGCAAATCATTCTGAGGCATGTTGAGCTATGAAACTGCATACTGATGATATGAATATGAACAGGTTTTCTTCAGATCAGTATGTAAAATGGCATTTCTATAGATTCTTCACCATCTGTGTGCTGTCACCATCGCAGCAGAGCATGATGGGAACATCTGTTTTTTATTGAGGTACTTCTGAGCCTTTCTTCTTAATGCAGATCCCAGCCATTGTGGGAGAAAGCTGCAGTCTGTCTTGTGTGGAAATTGCGACTCATGACTGTTTCCATGGGGTGAGTGAAATTCTGATGTCCCGGGAAATTACTTTGAATGTTGCTGATTGATTAAAACTACAAGTGTGTCACCACATAACATCCCCAAGTACCTGCTGTTAAGGGGCAGGGCTGACCAGCAGTCTCACAGTAAAGGAGGATTTGCATCTATAGAAAAAATGTTCAGTAAGATACTGCTGAAGACTTTTGCATTTATTCCCAGACCTTTAGAACCCAGTAACATTTTATATGAACAGAAAATCTGTGCTACCAAGGTCCAATGTCAAAGATTTTATTAGGAATTGTAGATGAAACACCCGTTCTTTTCAAATGAATGTATGAACTTGAGACATGTCTTTTTTCTAGGTTCTGAATTCAGCTATTGTTGAAGAAAAATTCCTGTCTTGGCTGAGATCGGAGCCTGCTGTTCTCCTGTGGCTCCCTACATGTTACAGATTATCAGCCACGGAAATGGTTTTTCACCAAGCTAGATGTAGAGTCTGCAAAGTTTTCCCCATTACTGGCCTCAGGTGCATCAGTTTTTACTATTGTTTGCATACCTTACAGGCTATAACTGATGTATTAAGCAACCAACTTTGGATATAATCTAATTTAGTCAGTAAAAGAGGGAGAGAATCATCGCAGGCTAGTGCTCAAGCCTGCATCCTGCTTCTCTTTAGCTCACTTGCACAGACATGATTATGAAGACTTGCTGAAGGTAAACTGGCAATTCAGAAGTAAAGCCAATTAAACCTGAGTTTCTAATTTCTTAGTTCTTTGTCCCATAGCCAGTTGTATTAACTGGCTAGTTAGGTTATCCATCTTAACATCTTGTTCATCTAAGTAATGGTATAAAATGGCATAGTGGTATAAAAAGAACGCTATCCATTACCTCTGACCAGAATGCTCAGAAAATCAATTTACTGTTACTCTTTTCTCACTAGTAGTAAGCTTGCAAGTTTAGTTTCTTGCATTTTTAGTTTTTTGCTTGCAAATCCTACATCAATCATGTATTATGTGTCACTCAATATTACAGTTCCATGAGAGCAGCAAATAGATGTAAGCTGGTGCATAAGAAGCATATGAAATTGAAACTACATTCTCAAAAATGATGCTAAACAGCTGTTTCTTTCATGAACTGCATTTCAATGCAGTGAGTAAATAATACTAAAATCACTAGTGGGTTTGGAGAATAGTCCATTATCATTTGGACAAAATAACTTGCATTCAGAGAATGTTGAGGAAAGTCATAATTCTAACAAAGCTGTTTCTCTGCATTTCAGAGCCCAGGGATCTGTATTTTCAGTAGTCAAGCTCACTTACACCAAGTCCTTACTTGTGGAGAAGTTATTGAATCCCTTTGTTTTCCCTCACAGGTATCGCTGTTTGAAGTGCCTCAATTTTGACCTTTGCCAAGCGTGCTTTTTCACTGGCCGTCTCTGCAAACCACATAAGAGGTCACATCCTGTTGTGGAACACTGTGTGCAGGTAGAGTCCCATTGTATTGATTAATTTCCCTGTTCAGGTTCTTCCTGTAGGCAAGTAGGCAGTAGATTCTTGAACTACATTCATTATAAAATTATATGTGGATTAGCCATAATGGCCATAACATATTAGCATTATTAATCTGAGCACAGTGTGACAGGAAAAGGAAAAAAGGTGGCTTTTAACTTTGGAATGAGTGTTTTGTTCTGAAATAACTGAATAAAGCGATGAAATATCCTAGTCCAAGTCCTCTTTTCAAGGACTTTAATGGCAAGTTTGCTGTTTACAGATAATCCTTAAACCTGTGTAAAGTCCCGTCAGTGTATCCCAGTGCTCCTTCATCCCAATCCCAATGCAGACTCATGCAAAAATTAATTCGTCCTAAAGTTGGACAAACTCCTGCATGAAATGTTTTTTCTCCTAGAGTTTTCCCACTTTATTGTAAACCCTTCTGATTCATTTGTCCCTGTCAGTTAGGGATGTGGCACAAAAAGGCAGCGTGTGCCCAACCAAGCTCACCTACTTGGACTCCATTACAGGGGCAACTTGTGCTTTCATCACACCAGTGGTGAAGTACAACACTGGGAATTTGTGTTTGGAAGACCAGCTTCTCCTTTGAGCAGGAGATTCCAGATCTTGCACACAGCAGCAGACAGGTGTTTGGGTGGGGATTTTTTTTGTGGATTTATGTAACAGTATCCTTCTGTTCCAGTAAATGAACTGAAAAGCACTTAAGAAAGTTTCCCTAGAAAGCTTAATTTCATGGTTTCCTTCCCAACGCCCTGCAGTTAAAGTGAAAGATACCTGGGTAGCCAGTGTCTGCACTAAAACTAAAGAATGTTAGAGTGCTCTTGTAGTCACCCTTTGTCCGGGGAAATATTACACTGTTACCACTTCATTGTTCTCCTTCTGAAAAGAACACTAACACTAACACAGTGCTAACACTGTGAGAAACTGTATCTGGATGCTCAATATCTGCATTAAAAACAATTCATTCTTCCAAATATTCTTCTTTATTCTCCATCTGTGATAAAGTAGGAGAACCAAATGGCTACTGATCTCCTCATGTGGAGACTTCTAGCAGAGACATTAAAATTGGTGTGAATGGGAGTGTAGATGTCAAAGCGCCAGAAGGAAGGGCAAGAGGAATATAACAAGGCAGGAGGTGATGCAGCCTTGATAAGCTGGTAACCAAGATCACAGAACTTCCACACACAGCTTCTCAGGACAATCAAATCAGGAAAACATAAGGTAGCCTGAAACAAAAGACAAAGTGCCATCTGAAGATGTCATCACAAGAGATGATGATGTAAAGTTAAAGAACAAGACCTCTAAGACACCCAAATAAGGAGGCAAAAGATCACAATTACTGCCAGCTCCTAAAGGAGCTAAAGGTGCATCCAAAAACCAGCCCATGATCACACTAAGACCATGGAGGCTTAAGGAGAACTAGTATCTCTTGTCCTCCCTGTTACTGCAAGTCATTATGGTCATATCAAGTGTATACATACACCTTGGTGTGTGAATGCTGGAAAGACTACTTGGACACATGTATTTAGTGCTTGTGAGTGAATATGAGTGAGTGAAATCAGTTTTGTTGTACAATGAAGTCCCTTTCCTCACCTGTACTGTCTGACATTGAGCTTTCCAACATTGTTTCTGCAGTATTGCAACTAGATCACTGAACTTGGGTTTACTTTATGAAGCCCTAATCCTACATTAACCCTGTCAATATTACTTTATAGGCCAAATATTACAATACAGGCCAAAGTCTATACCAAAATTAAAAGATAAGCTATTCACTATGATAGGTACCACTTTTATATACTTTGTGTGGGACATAAAAGAATCAGTAGTAAGTTGCTGTCCCCATCCCTTCCACTTTTAGCAGATGCTGGCCTTGTCTGGGTAAGTTTTCACTTTGTCTTTATCAGGGAGTGAACTGCTAGGTGGGCATTTGAAATAACGGCAGTTTTTCCTTTCTGTGCTGACACCTTGTGGTGATGTTACTACCACGTTGAGAAACACTGAGAGGCATGTGGTGTGTTTTCTTTGTGTTTTCCTTCAGTCTGTCAGGGCTCACCCCATGTTTTGCAGCAGCCACTTCCTGAGGCAGAATTGGTTTGTGTCCTCCTATAATACAGCTGTTGTACCTGACTGAGCCTGACACTGCTGTGACAAATGGATGTGTATTTTACTATATGCTACTAGAGGAGGACATGAGTTGTGGAAGACTACATCTGTGAATGCTTCATACAAATATGAAAGTACTTCTTCCCATTGATCAAGAGAGAACTTAGATACTAGTTGGGTAGAATTATTGTTGTGACTGTGAGCTTAGTCGTTGTAACTGCCAAAATCCTGTATTAGGGATTTCCAGGCTGCCTCAATTTGGCCCAGGCAAAGTGATTTGTTTACTTAAAGAATTGGAACTGCTCTTGCCTGTGGTCCTGCATCATCATCCAACTTAGCTCCCCTTCTAGGACTCAGATAGCAACCACAAGCTTCTTCAATTGTTGAGCAGGTTGACCTTTGTTTTCTTATGTCTTGCCTTTGCTTTGGACTGTGTCTACTTCTGTGCAACACCTGCTTGAAAATTCACTCCCTTCTTTGTTATTGCTCATTCCGATAGATGTCAGCAAAGGCCAGTGCAAAGCACTTTCTCCGCACCATCAGGAACAACCTGTTTCAAGAGCGCTGCAGAAGAAAGGAGGCTCAGAGAAGAAGGACTCTGGAGACAGTGGAGGAGAGGCACTTCCCTACTCACAAAAAGACTTTGTGAGTTTCATTTTCAGATGAGTTTAGAATCTCTGAATGTCAGAATGTGGAATATTGCTTGATTATGCCCTTTGAATGAATGATTTTGTTATGACAGATACCATGTCATAATTTTTCTATTAAAAAGGGAAAAAATAACTGGGAAGTTGCTGCACATTGTTCTATAGCTTAACCGTAATTATCATGCTGATGACCTAATGACCAGTTGTCTTATAAAATATAACATGCTTGTGTCTTCTTTCCCTCCTTGCTTATGTTGTCTCTCTTGCTCTGTGCCATTTCTTACACTCGGTCTAGGGTCAAGCATTGCAAATATTTAGTACCTGTCACAACTGCATGGGTTTTTAAGCAACTCCTCTGTGAAAAATTCATTGGAAATTAACTGTAATACTTTCCACGTGTGACCCACAGTGCAGTCAGTGACAGTCATTCTACTCAAGTCCCACTGAATTGCAGGCCTGTGGGATTACTCACAGTAGTGAGCTGATCTCACCATTCCAGTTCTTTCAGACCAATTGTTTGGTGTGCTTTGGTTAATATTTAAATTCATTACTGTATTTCCACTGATCATGGATGAGCATTGGAGGTTGTGTTGTGATTTTTCCCAATAGTTTCTCCTTCCTTGCTATGAGATTTTTGTTGATATTTAGGTGTAGAAACTGGAGGGAATGATTATAGGAGATAAGCATATAAACTACAAACGTGCAAAGGGTGAGATTCCTTTCTAGTTGTATAAAGGCCTAGCAACTCTCTTGCATCTCAAATATGTTCTCCAAATGAGGCTTCAGTGAGACTGAAATAGGGAAAAAATGGTCAGTCCTGTCTAAAAGAATTAATTTCCTCCTTGTGCAAAGGAGGACAAAAATCTGTTTATAAAACTGGACTTTGCTAACTCTGGTAGGTTTGCAATTAGAAAACAATTTTTATATGCTATAAGACCAATGGATGATAGTTACAGTGATTCTCATAGAGAATATTATTTCAGTGTTTGTTTTTTAGAATGTGGTGAAATGCAAAACATTTTTCGTTGCTAATATTTCCTCTCTTGTATTTAGCAACAAAACAATATGTCATCATTTTGAATGTCATTTAATTTTTCTGTGAGCAGTCAAGATTTATCTATAATTCTGTGGGGTTTTGCTCTACCTACTGCTTGGGTAGCAATGGGACAAAGAATAATTTAGGGCTGCTGTTTACAGGCGTCTCTATGGGACTGATAAATATCTGGCCTTTTCCAGGCATAGAATGGACGGAACAGCAGGATACTTTGCTATATTTTTGTAGTTGAATTTCCCAATATATTTAGCTCTTGGTGAAAGGCATAGAAGAGAAGCAGCAAATTGCACTGAAACTAAATGAGTGGAAAGAAGAACCTGTTGTTGAGATTCTGTTGGGAGAGTGGAATTTGTTTTTAGGAATTTTCTTCTTTGAGCCAAAATGTGCCAGCAGGCATGGCTAAACCATACTTCTTGCTTAGTCAATAGCATAACTGTCTGTCTACTCACAGTGCATTAGTTTTATTTTGTTCTTTCTCGATACCAAAACCATGTGAGTCTTGATCCTTTACCTACTCATTGTTTCTCTCTTGGCACACAGTCCTCCTGCAGAACTCAGTGCTTCACCACTCCCTGGCCCGGAAAACCTGTCTTTCCCAGGGGATAGTTGTGTCCCAGAGTCACCTGAGTTCATAGCTGAAAACAGGACTGTAATGCAGAAGAGTGAGAATAACAGAAAGACCAGAAAGACCAGAAAGACAGTAGAGCAAGGCAAGACAATAGCTCAGGTGAGCAAAACACGAAGCAGTAATAGTGCTACAGCTGTGAAGAAGACCTACCAAGTTAACTATCTAATTACTAATGAAAATGTATTGGACATCTTCAGCTTTCTGTTAATTCCTCACTTATGGAAAAAAATGTGGAATATGAAAACTCAGTGAAGCTTGAATTTGATGTCTTCCCAAGATTTGTGACTAGTCTCTTTGACTTCCATAACCTTCAGAAGCACCTGTAAGAATATTTGCTTTGGGTTTTGCTGAGTTGTCTTAGAGTAGCACGCTAAAGACTAGCTAAGACTGGAGTCTTCTCTCTATTTTAACAGGTAAAAAATGCCATCATATCCTCCTACTGCTGCCTTAATTCTTTTTAGGTTCAGGCCATTTTTGTTACCATGGCAATAGCAAGAGGACAGAATGATCCCCTCTTAAGGATAAACCCAGAGTGGTGTCCACTCCAACTAAAATAGCTAATGTACAAAAGGTCTCCACTAATCTATTTCCAGCTTCCCTGCATAGAAACAATACTAGAGGAGTGGATAGGATAGTGTAGCTAAAAATAACTGTATAGCAGTTTTTTGTTTCTATATTTGTTTGAAAGGTTGGCAGCTCTGCATATACTCAGAATATAGGGAACACTGGGTTGTGTTCAAACCAGTTTGTGTCATCCCCTCATCTTGTTCTTCCCAGGAGCCAAGGGGTGCAGTAACTGAAAACTAGCCTCTGTGTGTCAGGTCACTCCTTTGGCTGCTACTCCTGTGCTGCCCTTTGGAAGAGATGTCATTTAGGAGTCTGCTGCCCCACTCAAGGTATAGTGCCAGCCAGCATATATCTGCAGGAGAAGTTGTGGGCAGACTTAAAGTGCTTAAAAATATAATTTTGACGGCTGGCATTTGTCATTTCAGGAGACAGCAAGATAGGACTTGCATCCTTGTACTGGGATTCTGTCGTGCATTGCTCATTTGTTCATTTTGAATCTAGGCTGAGAATTCTTTTTGAGCAGTTTTATACTGATTTCCAAGATCTTATAGTGCTTATTTCTGCTTTGCTTCCAAAGTTGTGGACAGTAAGTCCAATGATCGCTTTTAACAGAATTGACGAGTATGGAGGTCCTGGGGACCCAGCGCTTAGTCTCATAATTTCCTGGCAGCCCTGATTCCAGCCCAACTTATATCATGCCCCAAAAGCAGATGGAAAGCATTTGTGTCCTTGACTTCCAGGTTACTGTTCCCTGCATGGCCCAGAGACTGCTACTTCCATGCAAAGACCAGGAGTTTTTATTCTCTCTTCTACGTCCAGTCTCTCTCTTCGTCTCCTTGTCCCAAAGCAGTTGTGGGACTTGGGAGAGACTGTTCCCAATCAGAATATTCCATTTTGCAGAAATTCTAGGGAATATGTGTTTTGTTCTAATTTAAAACAAATTCTCATACACTTAGAATTTGTCATAGAACAAAGAACTTGCTCTATAGAATGAATTTTCCAGTCTCCTCTAATAGCCATTAGAAATACTTTAATGCATCAGTTGATTGTAATAAGTTAAATTTAAAAAGCTAACTAGTAAATCTATAAAACAGACCAAATCCAAAATTTGTCATGCCCTCTTATAGTAAAATTTGCATATAAAAATGAATGTTATTGCTGATAAGGTTATGACCAGATACTTCTTTGTGTTCTAGGCAATAGCCTCTTTTGAAGCAGATGTGTTAAAAATGCACGAATCTATCAAAAGCATTCACAGTGACAGCAGGTATGTAAATGCAGTGGTACACTGACAGAAGACTGGTGGGCAGGGCTCAGTGAAGGGCTAGAAGACAGGTTATTTTTCTGTACCTTGGAGATTCTGAGATTAAATAAAGATCCTATTAAATGAGGGTGAATGATAAAAACTCAGCAACAAAAATTGTAAATGGGGATCACTGGAAAAACAATGTCTGGAAAAGCAAAACATTTTCGTTTGCTTTCATCAGCATTTCTGCAATTGCTAGTTTATATTTCTAAAGGTGATTTTTAAGGGAAAAGATGTTCATTCACATAAAAATACCAGAATAGCATACTTTTTTCAAGTTTTTCTCTGAATAAGGCTTAATCAAAACAAATTTCACGATTTGCATGAAGTTTTTAAATCAAAGTACATTGTCTTTCTAAAAAATGTGCTGTACATCAAATAGAGATTAATAGGCTTAGTACAATAACTATTGGTATAAAATCCATGACATATTATCAAAGAAGTTCCTTCTGATATTCAAACCTTTGACAGGAAAAAGTATTAATTCCTCAACTACAGATTTCCTGAGAAGTGTATTTGTTTGCATGGCAGGAGTGGAAGTTGCTGTATGGGCAATAATGCTAACCTTTTTCTTGCATTTTTGCCTTCCCCTCCTTAATTTTTGTAGTTATATATGAATGTGCTCTAGATAAAACCATGGCTGTGACCCCTTAAACCAATGGAATTACAGTGAAGTGTAGTATTTTATCCTGAATCTACTCTTTATTTCCTTCAGTATGTCCAGTTCTCTCTGTTCCTGTTCTGTTTCATTCTAAGTACAATTGCTGCTCCAAATTCACACAAGGCCACTTCAAGATCAGAGCTAAACAATTGCAGTTCCATTGTAAGCCTGTGTCCTTAACTCGCTCTCTGTTCTCACCTGGGCAAATAAAGAGATGTGGCAAAGATCTTCAGCTTTTGTTTAGGTTAGCAATAGTTGAGAGGATATCTGGGAAGCCTGCTCCTGAAATGCTGCATCACCCTTTGACCCAGAGCTTATCATATAATGGGGTGAATGAATCACATTACTCATGGGAAGCTCTTTATTCTTATTTGTGATCCAACTTCCAGCATTCATGTGCCTGTTCACAGAACTGGCTCTGAGTTATTTGAAGGGAGTCAGCATTTTACAGTAAAGACCCCTTAAACGCTGTTATAAGGGACCACTGTAATATTAATCTTAATTTTAAATTATATGACTTGTCCTATTCAGACAAATCTTGCATAATTCTAGAGAAATCTAGTGGGACTCTTGTCTCTAAGCCAAAGTATAACCAAAAGAAAGTGAATCAGATGAACTTCTGGATGTAACTAAGCAGGACAGATAACTATTTCAGCTCGGTGATATGAAGCAGTTGGTTTATTACAGTAGTGTTAACAAACTTTACTGTCTCCACCTCAGCCATGAGGAAGGCAAAACTATTTCTACCCTGACTTCTTAGAGAAATCCCAACTAGAACAGAATTATGGTATTTTTGTCATACTGTGCTCTGAGTAGGTAATTTCTAAATCTCTGGTATGTGTGGGAGGGTGGCACTTCTTATTGCAAAAATCACAATGTCTTTTCAAGGGCAAGTGGCCTGTGCAGGAACTATTCATATAATCAAAGAAACTGCATAGAATACCATGAGCAAGAAGAAAACTCTATCAAAGGGGTAGAGGCTGCTTTTACTTTGTTGTTGCCTGTGGCCTGTAGTGGGAACTTTTGCAGTTCAGGGAGTTGCCATAAATAGTTTGCTTCTAGGCAGAGGGACTGCTGTAATGTCTCCCCTGTTGAAGCCACCTTTGTGGGAAAGGTAAAATGCAAGGTTCAGTCCTGGCTGTAGCTCCATTCAGCTCACATCTTTCCTCATCTAGAACACTCCTGTTCTTGCTAATTCCATGGATACAGCCCAGCTCCTGAAACATTGGTCTCTAATCCCAAAGCTGACAAAAATTTTCTAAACTGATAAAGGGGATAAAGTTTGTGCTAAAGTGCTAGCTCTTTTCCATGACTACATGTATTTGTGTATGTGTGATCTAGCAAAAATCCCACCCTCCTGTGTCTCTGGCAGGTACATGAAGAAGCAGTTCAACAAATGGAAGGACAAAATACAATTTCTTCACAACTGCCAGGAAGAAAAAAGCTGCAAAATAGAGGCGAAACTCCAAAGACTGAGAGTAAGCCATAAACACCTACAAATGACACTGCAGCAAATGGAGCAAGAAGTAAAGGTATAGTGACAAATATACCAAGAATCAAAGCTATGGGCAATTACTGAACACTGACTACTGCTTCCTGCAGACCAGCAGTCTTGATACTATTTCATGCACCTTCCACTAGTATTTTCAGTTATCTTAGATTCTTGTCTTCAGAGAAAGTAGATAGAAAGCAGCAGGGATTTTCTTGTCATTCTGTGTATATTTAGCATCTAGCACAGATACCCATACTGGATGTTTAGATACTACTGCAATGAAAATAATGAATATTCCAATAAGAGTGAGAAAATGGTTTCCAACAGAAGTGTTAGATACTCCACTGCAGTCTTTTCTTCAGAGAAGAGTCCTGTGTTGGCATTGAATAAATAAAATACTCTTTTGTCATTCCTAATTACTGTCTTTTACTGGAAAGTAATACAGACGTCTTACAGAAAATATTTTATTTCTTTTCAATTGTATTGATTCTTGGTCATTAAAATTATTTGTGAGATTCTAAAAAGGCCCTTATTTCACAGAGAATGTATACATATTTGCCACATACAGCATTTTGTAGCATCTTCGGCAATGCTGCTTTAGTACTATTGGCAAGCCAAAATATCAGTTATTTTCACAATGTATTTTCTGTGTTTTGTCTATTGTAGACAATGTTACAGTCATCAGAAGATCCTTTTGCGCAGTATCAGAATACAATGCCAAGAAATCCCCCTGTTCTGCTGGAAAGGAAAATGCAGGGTGGATTAAATCCTGCCCAAATAAGGCCTACTTCCAGAACATGTGCAGACTGGAAATCTTTGAGTCCCCCCAACCCTGCAAATAGAATGCAGCTTTTACAGACACCTGAGGTTCCCACTGCAGTGGACTTTATGTTTTCAGATGACCCACTGGAGTCATTGTCCCTCCAGAGTGACAGACCTTTTATGGGACAGTATAAAAAAGCAAATGAGAACCAAACATATCTGCCTAAATTGACAGAAAACTCTCTCAGTGGCGTCATGAGGAATACAGTTCTTACTCCCTCTGCAGTGCAACTACCACCTGATGAGAAGGAAGTCAGGGAGGAAATGGAACTGCAGCAGCTAGTGATGAAACTGAAGGATGGATTGTCTCTCCAAACCCAACCAGGTACAAGCTCTCCCAGTAATCTCGACACTGTCTTCTCACCTTCATCCAGTTTACTCTGTAATATTGTTCATAATCATTTAACTCTTCAAGGAAATTCAGAATCTTGCCTTAGCCATTGTAGGAGCATTCAAGCTCTGTACTGTAAGGTAGAGCGTGTTCCAAATATAACCCTTAATGTTTGACTAATTTGAAACTGGATGAGTTAGAGCTCATAAGAGAAAATCAGTCTCAGCAGTTAACTAAGGAGCAAAGTTAAACTGGTGAGGGCACTAGAGGTCTTTGCTGTTGCCACTTCTGTGACACTGTAACTGTGACTCCAGTCGCAGGCAGACTTCCAGCAGTACAAAATCCCTATGTAATCAATGATTTTACACAGCAGGGCTTTGTTCAACACTCAAGATGCCTCACTTTTGATAATGAGGATGTAATCAGGAATATGACATAAAAAGCTGCCATTTCTACAGAGTTATCTTAACTTAAAGATTTATAAACAGTTTTCCAGGGCTCTGGCAGCATTCAAAAGCTTAGAAAGACTTAAAATCTGTTCTACTTTTCAGCCCAACAGACTACTTTGCAGCAGGAGTTGTTCTCTACAGCTGAGCATGTTTGCAGGTCCTTTTCTGACCTCATCAACCAAGTAATTTCACCAGCTTGTGAATGATGGAAGCCACCATTCACCTTACAGCTTCACTAAACTACTTAAGGTAATTGATGCCATGTCAAACTCTTTAAAGAGTCTCAGGTGTTGCATTGTAATAACACAGCATAACAGATTTCTGCATTTAATGACTTCACCAGGAACATATTGGAGAACAATATTCCTTTTTTGTGGTTTCCAGCTCCTGTGCAGTGGATTCCTCAGCAGTACAAATGATTGCCCATTTCTCTCTCTTTAGCTGAGTTACTTCTTTGTAAGTCACTCAAGTATTTCTTGTTGGTGCCAGCAACAAGGAAAACTTTTTTTTTTTGGTAATGCACAGAAGTATTTTAAAGATCTGAGAAATGAAAATTATGCAGTACCACTTCAGAGATAAAAAATATAGACTTAGTTACTTATTATCACAGTTCTGCAGGAGGTGCATAAAAAATAGTGAATGAGTACGTTCGTGTGTGTTCAAAACCAGTTATGGTTCAAGAAAATATGCATAATTTTAAGGATTTTAAGGATGTCACTGAAAGTATACCAGCTTTTCAAGAGAGAAAATACTCCTAATTATTACAGAATTTTTTCTGTGATTACTGAGAAAATAAATTTGGCTTGGGTAAAAGCAAAATATTTTTGAAAGCTTTGGGAGAAAAGTGAGATAAATTATATATTCTGAAGCTTTGCTTCATGTATAATCAAACAGAGTTTAGGCTGATGTGATTGAAAAGACTAATGAAAAGTGTAGTGCCTAAAAAAAGCTGCTCAGCAGAACTCTTAATTTTCCACATAGATTTTCCTTGCTTGTATTTTTCAGAATTAATTGTAATCATCAAGATAAATCACAGAATCACAGAATATTCTGTGTTGAAGGGACCCAAAAGGATAATAGAGTCCAACCCCTAGCCCTGCAAAGGACCATCCACAACAGTCACGCCATGTGCCTGACAGTATCATCCAAATGCTTCTGGAACTCTGTCAGGTTTGGTGCTGTGACCACTTCCTGGGGAGCCTGTTCCAGTGTCCAACTACCCTCTGGGGGAAGAAACTTGTTCTAATATCCAACTTAAACCTCCCCTGACACAACTTCAGGCCATTCCCTTGGGTTCTGTCACTGGTCACCACAGAGAAGAGATCAGTGCCTGCCCCTCCTCTTCCCCTTCCGAGGAAGTTGTAGCTGCAGTGAGGTCTTCCCTCGGTCTCCTCTGCTCCAGGCTTAACAGATCAAGTGACCTCAGCCTCTCCTCATTGGCTTCCACTCAAGGCCCTTCCCCATCTTCATTGCCCTCCTTTGGACGCTCTCCAACAGTTTAATATCTTTCTTATATTGCCACAATATTCAAGGTGAGGCAGCCCCAGTGCAGAGCAGAGCAGGACAGTCCCCTCCTTCGACTGGCTGGTGATGCTTTGCCTGATGCCCCCCAGGACATGGTTGGCCCTCCTGGCTGCCAGGGCACTGCTGGCCCATATTCAACTTGTCATGGACCAGGACCCCCAGGTCCCTTTCCACACCACTGCTTTCCAGCCTCTCATTCCCTCGTCTGTCTGTACATGCAGGGTTGCCCATCCCAGGTGCAAAATCTGGCACTTCCCCTTGTTGATGGCTGGTGATTGCCCAGCCCTCTAATTTGTCAAGGTCTCTCTGCAGGGTCTCCCTGCCATTGAGGGAGTCAACAGCTCCTCCCAGTTTTGTGTCACCTGCAGACTTGCTTAGTATCCCTTCTAGTCCTGTGTCCAATCATTTATGAAGATGTTGGAGAGCACAGGGCCTAAGATGGAGCCCTGTGGAACCCCACTAGTGACAGGTCACCAGTCTGATGTTCCCCCCGTTGACTATCACCCTCTATGCTTGACTCACAAGCCAATTGCTCACCCACCACATGATGTGTTTATCCAGCTGTGTGCTGGACATTTTGTCCAGAAGAATACTGTGAGAGACAGTATCGAAAGCTTTACTGAAATCCAAAAAGATTATATCAACTGGCTTCCCTTGATCTACTGGGGGTGATAAAGGGACTGTCTGACTCATTAAAATGGCTAGAAGTCTTATTTTCTGTTGGTAGCACCTCAGCCTTCTTCTTGAAAGACCTTACAGTGTGGTGAGATTAATGAACATTCCTGGTTCTTTCTGCTAGTTTTGGTCACAGAAGGCCTGAATTACACGCACTGCAAACACTCAAGAATTTACAGCAACTGTTAGCCACTGGAAACTAAGAAGTGGTTTGTCTCTAGTAAAGGAAGTATGAAGATGGTGGAAAGAAACTTATTGAGGAAGGGCCCCAGAAAACAGTGATGAGGTCACCAGTAAGTGCATGCAGCCACACTAGCACATAAACAATACAGTGTGAGATAGAAGCTTAATAGCTTTTGCAAGATGCCAGTGCCAAGAGATAAACAACAATCCAAGGAACCTAGTTGTTGATTATGGGAAGATATCCATCAGCTTCTGATGAGGCTTTAAATCTCCAGCCAGTGTGTGCATCTGAATTAAAAATGGTTGGAAACAGTGACAACTGACAAATACTAGTTTGGTCTGATGCAATTTCACTGAACATATCTGGAGCCCAAATTCTTACAAATAGATATTCCCGAACTACCATGAACTCTTACTTCATGGCAGTGTGTAAAGACTGAAAGAAGTGTTTTCCCATGCTAAGAAGCAGTTGTTTAGCTCCCAAATACCTACAAGATGAAAGGGACAAAATCATAAGGTCTTTCTTTTGCTGTTACTCAGTTCAGCTGACAAGGAATCAGCTTCTGTCAGACATGTTCATCCCATCCTTCTGCCAGACTCAGGCTGGGAAACAGTAAGCCAGGTGCAGTATCTACAAAAACAGTCCTAACTCACTCAAAGATCTGCCATGACCTTTATAAGGAAGAGTAGTAGGAGGCAATGTCCTGTCTGTAAACACAGTAACATTTTGAATTGTTCCTGTATAGCAGATCTACTTTCACCTCATACTCGGAGTCCTTACTTTTTCTCAACACAGACAACCTTTTGTCATTTGCACTTTATCACATGCAGGTTTACATGTAATGAATTGCATCTCCTTTTTTATTTCAGCACAATTAATTACACAGATTGTGTCCTTTATATCTGCAATTACCAAATGTTCTCCACAGTGTGACCTATATTAGAGATTCATCTGTTTTCTCGGTCTTAACTGCGCATCCTTTCCTCGAAGGCCAAATTTTGCTACAGACTATTAATTAAGAAGCTTGCTGAAGCAGAGAAGTATTGAAAATTTGTTTAAGCTAAATATCATCTTGGCCCATAGTGGTATTTCACCATTTCTGTTGCTATCTGAAGGGAAGAAGAAAGCTGCCATGAGCCATTTCCCAAGGGATCCTATTGTTGCAGCTGGGATATATAAGTGGAAGCACTAGCCTCTTCCCAAAGGGCCCTGTGGAAAAGCAGCTAGGGTAAACAGTACCTGTTCGGGTAATCTGTCTGATTTTATATTTTCTAGAGCTGAAGTGCATATGGGAACAGGTAACATCTGGTCTACTACAATACCAGTGGTATTGCAGTACTGGCTGAGGCATCCAGCCCTTAACATGCTCTTTGTCAGTTGCTGGACTTAATAGCTGTAGGGACTGTGGTTGAAGACATGTCTCTTATGTTGATACAAAGTTGCATACAATGGGGCTTTTAGATATATTAATATAATTTAGTTAATTAACAACATAGGAACAGGAGAGAGAGGACCTGTTGTAACAATGGTCTTGCCGCCCTCCCACACGGTAGCAGAGCACACTCATAGGGTGTGGCTGCAGTTCGGGGGGGGTGGTGTTGCTGAGTACACTAAACTCTGTGTTCCTGTGCTTATCCTGCTTTAGTGTTCCCTCTTCTCTTGAACACTTAAATAGTTTGTTGCATGTGTAACTTGAAGCACAAATCCAGTGCCATTGAAGCTGATAGTCCTCTTACAGTTCTTTGTCTGCTTCCTTAAGATAATGATTTCACCAAGTGAGACTGTGTTTAACCTTTACTTTGTTCAGGCCCAGTAACCATTTTAAGATTTCCTTTACACATTTTGTTACTTGAACCTATTTCTCCAAGTTGGTGAACAACCAGCAAACCAGTTTTTCTGTGGGCATTTGGAGAAAAAAAAAAAAAAGAAAAAAGAGCAATGAAATATTGCTACATGCTCAAGGAAAGNAAAAAAAAAAAAAAGAAAAAAGAGCAATGAAATATTGCTACATGCTCAAGGAAAGAAACTTTGAATGAGCAATTAAATATAATTGCCCTGGAAAGCTGAAATTTGTAGTTGCATCCAGCCAGTCAGGCAAAGGAAATATTTTATCTCATAAAAGCATGAAATGTTACCTGCCCTAAGTTATGTTACATTAGTTTAATATCAAATTGCCTGTTAGAGTTATAAATAACAGAGGAAACTGATTTTTCTACAAAGAGCTTGCAAACGAAAACAGAAGCAATTGTAAGTTATACATGAGTTTCTTGTATTAAACACTTTAAATAAGAATGTGTAACATTTTAAGTAGTATTTTTAATAACTAAGAATTTAGGGAAAATATCATAAAAATATAATGTGAAAGCAGAGGAGCTGGTAAAATCTGTTAACCCTTTTACTTTTGCTAGAAAACTTAAAACGTTTTTGGAAGGTATTTTTCATGTAAAAATATGTACTATTTTTCTTTTAGTAGGATGATGTCTTTGAGCAGTGATTGCTTTGTGCAAGTGTACAGCTACACATACAATCAAAATCACCATCTTAACTCTAATCCAGTCTTGGAACCAGTGGAGGGTTTTTGATAATTTCCTTCTCTGCTTGTCTGTGTTTTGTTGAAGGATCAGTTATTTCCTGTTTTGTCACCCAAAATCGTGCCATGTGTGAATGGGTCCCATGTATTACTGAGATACAAACAGGTTAAAGTAGGCAACTGCTTATAAATCATGCAGTTTATTAAGGAGATGAAATTAATGGATAATTAAAAAAACCCATAAGTCCAAGTTAATCGGAGATATGGTGCCCATGCTTACAGGCCTTTTTCTACATGTAAATTGACATCAGTGAGGATTAGAATGCAAAAAATAAAGAGAAGTAATTAAAAAATATCTACAAATCAAGATCTTGAACTAAAAGTGTGATTTCCTCTTTTTTCCTAGCTCTCCAATGACTCTTCGAAGTAATGTAGGTCTACTCTTATGCATGTGGATACTTATTAAATCTTCAAATGAGTCTCTCTTCTTCAGAATTGGCGACCTCTGAATATGAGAAAATATCCCTGAAAAGTGACATGAAAATGCATATAAACAAATGATTTCCAAACAGCAAAGAGCAGCTGAATACTCAGTTTCCCACATCTGCCTTCTGCTTTTAGCTGCTGCTGGTCCCCATTTTATCAGCATTGCCCCCAAACCTCTTGCTTTGGTGATATCCATAACCCTCCACTTGCAAGAGTTGCATTTCAATGTCAGGTCACTTTGATCTTTTCCCCCAGTATGGACCTTTTCCTTCAATCTTCCTATAAAACTCTTCTACTTGTAATTAGCAGCACTTAAGTCTGCTCATAATCTTACTGGCTCACCAGCTTGTTATCAACCTCCCTGCACAGTGCATGAGATCTCTCACACTGTTTGGTTGCAGATTTGTTATTTGCTTGAGGAACTATGGGACATTTTCTTTACAATGATCTCTAAAAGCCAGCAAATTGGTTTTCTTTCTTTTAGGCATATTTGCCTTCTGAAAAATTAACTGACTAATACTGCTTATTTACCAGACCTCAAATGTATAGTAGCATCTGCTCCACTACCCTCCCTGACACCCTGCAACGTTGGGACAGCAAATTATGTGTCTTGGGCCAGGTGCAAGGGCTGTTCTGAGCCTAATCAGCTGTACCTGTGAGGGAGGTGTGCACAGCTGTGGCCACTGAGTGGCAGAGGGACTGCTGAGCAAGGAGAAAAGGAGTGGAGAGATTTTTGTGGCTGCAGTCTTCAAGTGTTTATAGTGGGGATGTGCTATGTGGCTTCTTGAGGAGGATTTTTTTAGCTGCTCTTCAGGAAGATTTGCTGTGAGTACAAAAGCTATGTTTTCCTTGTGGTTCCAAAGGCTTATTTTGGTTCATAGAGAGTTGTTACAAATATTGTGTAACTACAGTGTTGTAATATTTTGGAAATGCCTTTATGAAATCTGCTTTTTCATAGTGTTTGGATTTTGTTAGGGGAAAGATGAGTTACTAAAGATACCTTGGCCAGGTAACTGTGGAAGACTCTCCCTACTTGTCTCATTCCTCATCACTTGCTAGGATGTGATTTCTGTCTGCAATTATTACCAATTGATTTCTGCTTTCACTGATGAAATAAGGCAGTAGGATCAAGGGTTACAAAGATTAAAACAACTGGCTTTGTTAAGAAACTGCGAGACTTGGATGAGAAGTTAGATAGCTCCTCCAAAAAATAAAATTTAGGCTGTCACTGCTATAAGCTGCCTGCTATAGCCTGATGTTAATCAGTTGTACAGAAAAATCAGATTAACTGATTACAATTCACAAAACAAAGAAGGAAAGGAAGGAGTCCTTGTTTTTCTTAAAGTATGAATACTTAGTAGTGCTTAAAATCTCTGTGTAAGTGTAAACAAAAGTCAGTATTTATCACAAAACCCATAATTTGATTCTGCAAAGTACATCAAACTGTTACGCTTAATCTTGACTAGGAACAAAAGCTCTTTGTTTAGGAAAATCACGATGTGATATAGATATGAAGAGCTAGATGTAAACAAAAGTCTAGGTGGGAGTTTAGACAGGGATATTCAAAGCTGCAATCCTGAAAACAAACATTAATCCTGGGCTTTCGCCTGATGAGCATCTAAGTTTTTAACAATACTACTGCCTCATGTGTCTAAAGCTGCATTCTCTTTGTACCCAGAAGTGCATCAGTCTGGTAAGGACTGAGCAACTTGTTGCCTTTGTGATGTCTAAGACCAATGGGAAACTGGAAGTTTCAACATGGTTAAGACCAAATCAGAGCAATGCGATAGCTCAGATTTTTTGTGGAGCAGGATAGGGTACACTCCTTGCTTTTAAAAGGCAGGTAGTGGTTGTTTGGCTCATATTTTAGAAACTGACCCTGTGTGTGTGCTCTTCAGTCTGAGGGGATTGATTCCAACACAATTCCTATATCCTAGCTTAATGGCTATGACACTGTCTCTAGGTAACAGGGGTAAGGACCTCTTAATCCTTCCTATCTCAAATCCCAGCTTTCAATACTCAAAAAAAATGTTGAGGTTTGTGGGCCAGAGCTGGACTGTCCAGTGGTATAGTGTCCCTGTGGTGCAAGAACTCTGAGTTCAAGTCTATTTTTAGAGATACTCTAATAGGTAATTGTCAAGAGAGGTTCTTCATTATTCCATGGACATTCCCCCCAAAACGCCTTAATACCTCAGATACCGATCTAGGAAGTGGAGATACAGGTCTCAATCTGCTTAAGTGTAAAGAGGGTTCTGCCTTCTCACTGTAGGCCCAGTGCACTACAGCTGTTGGTGATGGCAACGGCCATTCTACCTCTCCATTACATTATAGCACCTGCCCCTATCTGGAAGTGGATATGCTCAAGGGAAGGATGCATCTGTTGGTAGTAGGATCAGAACTGAAGCCTTGGAAGGGACTGAGATTTAGGAGAAGCTATGCTGTATCTCCCTTCTGGTAATGGAGAGGGTAAGTGACATGCATATGGAAACACTTTAAGCCTAGGGGTTCTGCTCTGGGGCTGGGAACCTGGAGATAAGGAATTGCAGCATTTAATGTCACACGTAGTGGTGTCTTCCTGAAGCTGTAGCTGTGCCTGAAATCCTACATGCATCTAAGTCCTAGTTCTGTTTCCACTGTGTGTTGGGTAAAGTTACCAGTATGGAAATGGAAAATAACTAGTGGTTGACTGCTAGATGGCAAGTAAACATACCCTTCCTCTTCTGCTGAAAGACTACCATGCTTCCCAACAGCACCAGTGCCCTACATTCCTGAGGTGACACACCTCTCAGAATGGGGAATTCAGAACTAGCCTGTATATAGCACAATAGTGGTAAAAACGCTGGTGTGGAAGAATATATTTGTATTTTCAGTTGCTGAGCTGCCTTCTTTGTTCTAATCCTCCTATGTTTCACTTTCTGAGCCCCTCCTTCTCCATCAAACTGAAACTTAAAAGCTGTTGTTAGAGATCAGGTTGTCTGGAGGTCAAATTTTTGCTGAGATCACATTGAACATAAACATAGCTCTGTACTTGATTAGGAGGAGTTTGTGCAGCACTGTCCTCTGTTTCTGTACTATAACCACACAACACAATAAGACTGCATCTCTTTTCTTTTCCACTAGACTCTAGTTATTGCCCATGAGACTTGTATTAAAGGAGCAGTGACCTTGGTTTCTCCCTGTGAACTGAGAATGTTGAGTAGCAATCTTCTGCTCAGCTTCTGCTAGCTGCCTTCTCCCTAGGCCATGGGTTCTGGAGAGCACACAGTCCACATAGATATCCCAGAAGAGCTGAGCCAGGTCCCAGAACAAAGCCCCATGTTTCAGGTTCTCTGATGATTTCAGAAAAATCATGAAGTCCCAAAAGCCACTGACAGAGTCAGAAATGCGAGGCTTCCTCATCTCCAGTAAGACAGCTGAGGAGGATTCCCAACACTGGGGATCTGCCCACCCAAGAGCTAGTGGATCAGTTTGACTATGGCAGAGGAAAGGTGTCATGCAGAATGCTGCCATGATTAGCAGAGAGCAGGTGAGTCTCATGTTACAGTGGATTCTTCCTCTGCTCCCAAGGTCCATTGTGTCACTAAAATATAAGAAAACCAAAAGAAGCTGAAAATTTTCTCGCTTTTAGATGCAGAATCATATAGAAGGCACTCAAATGTTAATTGTTTCTCTGCTCCTTGAAGATGTGTGTATGCTTTTTTACATGTGTGAATATAGATACTAGAGGAGTTGCAATACTGTGTGCAGCAGAAGCATGTGTAAAAATTTGCTAATCATCTTCAAATCTGTATGATGAACTCTCTTGTTTGGAACTTCTTCACACTGAAAGTTTTTTACCTTTCTTGATTTACAGATCCCTACTTTTTCAGTAAAAATCCATTCCTTTTTACAAATTTTAAGCCTTTAGGCAGTCTTAGTTTTCTCAAAATTTTACGAGACCTTTCTGAGTCTTCAGAATCACAAGCATCAGTGGAGCAGCAGGTGGAAAACTTGTGGAAAATGTGTTTTAATGGTTCTAGTTAATGAAAGTTGCAAATTCATCCATTGACCAGTGGTGTTTTGCCTGCTAAAATGCAGAACAGTTCTGAAAAGAGAGTATAGCAAAGCCATGGCATGGCAGCTGTGTTGTACAACATGTATACACGCACATGGAATCATACAACAGTTTGGGTTGCAAGGGACCTTTAAATGTCATCTAGTCCAACCCTTGTCCTATTGCAACAGGCCCTGCTAAAAAGTCTGTCCCCAGCTTTCATATAGGCCCCCTTTAAGTACTGGGAGGCTGCAACAAGGTCTCTCTGGAGCCTGTTCTTTTTCAGGCTGAACAATCCCAACTTTCTCAGCTTTTCCTCATAGGAGAGCAGTTTCAGCCCTCTGATCATTTTTGTAGCCCTTCTCAGGACTTGCTCTAACAGGTCCTTGTCTTTCCTGTGCTGATATATCTATCTATATATATGTATGAAGTACAGATGCTTGTTGCGGATCACTAACAATTGTCTGTTAAAACTGTGAAATTTGAGAAGTAGCACCTATAACGGTTAGACAAATCCTGAGAATTATAACTTTTTGTAGACAGAAAGGCCTAGTTGTCTCTGTCAGTTTTCATTTCTAGTATGTGCTTCTATATGTTGAGTTTTCAAACATGCTTCTGGAATTTTTAAGATTCTAACGAGTTTGGGGATTGATTTTAATGTTGTTCATGGCATATGGAGAACTTTCCATTTGTGGAAATCAGCAACATCTGAGATATGTGTTTAGGACAAACAATTCTGTTTAACATATATGCTGACCATCTGAGTATTCACGCTTTTACATTTTCAGTTTGATTGTTGGCAGGGGGTAAGCTACCTCTCTTAATGAGCTTAACTTGATAATCAGCTGGCTTTTGGCGTAGAAAGTCTCTTCCATGAGTGATCATGAAGAGCAGAAGAAATGTTCCTTTGCTGTGTGATGGAGAATGCCAAAGGCAGGATATGGATGTGCAGAGGGATTGTACATAAAAGGTAGCTCAGACACAAGCCTGTGTGCAA